CTCTTGCTGTATACTCAGGGCTTTGCTAGTGGCCTTTGGTCCTGATGGCTCAGGAAAAGGATAATTTCTGCTGTGAATTCCACAAGAGCAAAATGAAATGTAACATCCAGGACTTTGCAAGAGGTGGTGTGAGGGCTGTTCCTGGCAATTACAAAAGAAGTTGTTTGCCTCTAGGCTGTTAAAGAGATTAGAGTCTCATTTCACCACGGCATCTTGGTACCTGCTGAAGAGGCTGGTGATGAGTGGCTGGTGGGGAGAATGTGCGCCTTACTCCTGCCTAGCACCAAGTTTTCCATGTTTCTGGAGTCCTGCTCGTGGTGAGAAGCCTGACCTGTTCTTGCACAGAGAAGCAAGCAGAGGGAGGACAGGCCAAAAGCAGAAGTGTTCGCTGATGCGGCCGGGAGGCTTTGCAGACATCAACCTGAGTCTTTCCAGCTTAGAGTTTGCCTTTGCAAAATGAATCATGAAGTAGTGAAGCACTGTAGAGGGGTTTCAGACCCAGATTGGAAGGGAAAGGAAGGTTTTGAGGACTGTCATTGCTGCTTGGAGAGGCTTTGGAGAAGTTTGTAAATACAGCTCCGGGAGGCTCTTCAAGCCTTCTTTAAAGTGTTTAAGTGAAAGCTCCAAAGAGCTGATCATGCTGACGGAGGAGGACTCCAAAGCAAGGCTGCCCAGTGCTTCTGATGGGAAGGTCTTGACTGGGAGGACAGGAAAAGGGTGCGGATCTAGTCTGATCCTGAAGTGATCCTGTTGCTTCAGGATCCTCTTCAGGATTCTCATTCTAATACTGTATGGACTCCTGGACAGCGAGCTGGGAGCTTTTTGGCTTAGGAAAGGCTTATGCTGTTTGCTGAAATGTGACCACCTCTTCCTGTATTTTTGCCTCCATGTTTTCTCTCTCTCTCTCTCTTTCTCTCTCTCTCTTTCCTGAGGCATTTTTGTTTTGTTCTCCGCATCCTTGCTTACTGCTCAGCCCCTCACACTTGACGCTTTCTCCCTTCTTTCTCTAGAGAACAAGCTGTGCAGCTGCTCCTGGGAGTAGCCTACGCCAAGCGATGGTTATTAGGGCTCCCAGGCTGCTGAGAGGTTTCAGTCCAGGTCTTGGATCTGTGCAGGCTCTCTGACTCTGAGTAGATGTGGGGCCTAGCAAGAGATTTATGAGCTCCGGAGAAACAAAAGGACTCTGCAAAGTGGCACTAGCACAAAGGAAGCTGGGAGAGCACAGTGGAGGAAGCGTGAGTGGTTTGAAAAGAAGGAAATAGTAACTAGGTGTTGTTTGCTTGTCTCTCTTGCTGCTTCCTCCAAGAGGAGCATGCAGCCCAACTTCACCATCAGCGTGGGGACTTGGATGCTATTAGGCAGTTCATTAGTAAAACCTCTGAGTGGCTCCCACTGCTGTTAAGTACCTATTAATGCCTCTTGAGGGAAGAGGAAAACATTGTAAAAGCACAGAAACAATCTGAAGGTCCTTGATCTCTTTCTGGTCTGAGAGGTCATGGGATGGAAGCGGCAACTTTGCAGATCGATGATTATCTGTCAAAGCCTGAGTGCAGAACACCATCTCGTTTGAACTGTTACCTCTCAAAGGCTCCCGCGCGGGGTGCTCTAGGGCTGTAAACACCTAGCCACAGACCTGCTTTGTGTGGCTCTAGAGCCAGGTATTCCCCCACTGGGGGAAAGCCAGCAAAACCTGCACAGATGTCCCTCACAGCTGCTGGGCTGCGGTGAACCACCCCTGTTGCTACAGTTATTGGCACTGCAGGATCTCTCTCCTTCTCTTTGCTTACTTGTGTATACAGTCAGCTGTTAAAAGACACTGACATCACTTAATTAATGGTTTAATTGAATCTCACAAAGGGATCGAAATTGTCTGCCTGACTCTTGTCACTAAGATGCTCGCATAGGAAATAGTAAGTCACCAATTCAGCAAATAAAGTTGTGGCTCTGGATAGAAACTCCTTGTGGCAGGAGTTAAGAAAGCAATTACTCTTTGCAGAGTAATGTACTATTAGGGATAAGTGTGTGGGCTATTTTTTGAAGCCACCAAGTATCATCCATGCCCAAGGGTGGGATAACTCAGTTAGACCAACTCCTAAAGGTGATATGGCAGACCATATACTCATTAAGGAGTAAACAGACCTGAGGTAGTGTATTTTCTGTAACTCAGAACACTGTTTTGTGTTTCAGCCTCCAGATGATGGAGAAAGATTCATGTGATATTTTAAAAGGATAGAAAGGCCAGGGTTGAACTGGGTTGAAGAGCAGAGTATTGTGGTCAATAGAAACTTCTGGTGTTCAGAAGAAAGGCTTGTTTGAGGGTAGAGAATCAAAATTGGGAGGCAGAGGAGGGGACAGCGAGAAAAATGTCCCAAAGCAAAAGAGGAAGCCCAAAAAGGAAGGATCTGAGCCTCACAAGGGTGCTAACGCTGTGGCTGTGCTCCTGACAACTGAAGTAATTGCTGCTCAGGAGGGATGTGAGCCAGTACAGAACAGTATTTCACTCAGGTGCCAAGGAAAGCAATTAAACCTGGTAAATACCAGTGGCTGACTAAAGCTGGGTCTTTTAATTAATAGTTTCATCTGAAGGGTAAGGAAATCATTAAGTGGTATTGGTGTCTATTAATTCCCTGCAAGAGGAACAACAACAGAGTGTTTTAAGACTCTTCTTTGCAGTACAGTGTGTGTATGGTGGAGAGGGGTGATGGCCAAGCCCTTGCACAAGGGGGGAAAGCTTGCTTTGTGTAGTTGTGCTCGCCCACAACACTGAGAGCTGCCACAAAGGTCTGAGGTTTGCTGCAGAGTAAACGGCTCAGGCGGAGCACTTAGGACTCAGCTTTGGGGGTCCTCCATCAGGATGAGAGAGAAGATGGGTGGAAAACATAATTTCAGTGAAAAGCTGTACGACTGAGGCACCATACTTAAAAGCACAGGGAGGGTATGTGGAGCTGGGGGACTGGAAGACAAACAAATACTGTGTGACGTTGTACAGATCCAGGCACTCAACCATGGGAAAAATAACATCAGCCTCTTCTGGCCAGGTCAGAGAGCACTATATAAATGTTGGCTGGAGGAAGAAGTAGGGATAAGTACTGGAACAGGGCAGAGCAGACAGGGAGATAGAACTTCCTGCCGTTTAAACGGTGACAGTGTATTGGTTGATTTGTATGTTCATAAATGCTTAGAAACCGAGGATGTTAAGGAGCAGCCTTTATAAAGGACACAGCCTTGATTATAAGTCTGGGTAAGACAAAGATTTATTCTGGTTGCTTTTTGACTCTAGAGTCATCCCGCCTACTCTTTTCTGACTGTCGGAAGGACCACAGCTCTTTTCCCAATCTTTACTTTTCAATCTGCTCTATTGTCATTATCTAACACAGGCTTTTCTGCTGCATTGGTGCAACGAGCAGCTTGTGGTAGAGACAGTTTTGATTTTTTTTTTTTTTTTCCAGTGTGCACTATGCAGCATGTCACTGACAAGGCTGCCAGCGCTGAATGGCACTCTTCCTTTGTTGAGGCTAGTCACGGAGCTCAGCACAGAAACCAGTCAAGCCTTGCTGTAAGCCACATCAATGTCCACACATGGCTTTTCTCAACTAGCTGCTGAGATACTTGGAGTTACTCTTTGATTTATAGCTGTCCTGGCATCTTCTCTTTTTAAAAAGAGTAATATGAAGTCACTGGAAGCTCAGCCACATTTCTGGAGTGAGGGGAAACTCTTCTAGTCCTTTAGACATCTGTGTCTGTGGAAGCTCTTTTCCTTGCTGTCAAATCTGTGACAATTCAAGGAACTTCCCTAGACAATCTACCCTATATTCAAATTCAGGCAGAAGGTTGGAGTAAGGTAGGGGATTCATCTGGGTGTGTGTTCTCTTCTGTCGAAAGTACCTCACCAGGCTCTTCTAAGCAGACTGATTTCTTTCAAAGCCTGCTGTATGCTTTTCAGCCCCATGAAGGAGGTTCACTGCCTTGTTGCCATGGTACCCTTCCTCTAAAGAGGAAGAGAATAGTTAATTATACAATTTAAGATACTGAGGAGGAACCACAGAAAGAGAAATAATAGAAGGGAAGATTCTGGGTATGTGATAAAACTGGTGGCTGCAGCAGAAGAGAGTCTGTTTACAGGTGAACTATGTCCAGCACACGCTGTGTATAGCCAAGGGTTCTCCCTGGCTGCGTGGGTCCTGAAGCTGCCCTTTGCTAGTAGGCATTGTGCCTCTGCCACCCAGGAAATCAATGCTGTATTCAGTTGCTGCTGTTACCTCCTCTACTTAATGCTTGAGAGAGACCCAGATGTATTTGCCTGGCAGAAATCCTCTTTGGAGGGAGCTGGGACAGCAGTAATATATTACAGAGCCATGACAAGCCCATGCTGCCTGTGCATATACAGAGGTACAGTTCAAGTCTTAAGTGTTTTAAATCTCTGTGGCAGTATTTCGTTGTTCATCAGGCCTACTAACCCCCTGCTTGCTTTCCCCAGGAGCCCCAGCAAATCCAGTTTGTGGTGCACAGGACAGAACCAGAGACTGCAAGCACCAGAACTGGCGAGATCCCAGCCCCTGTAGAAGGACTGGCATTTTCTGTTTGCCAATAACACTGACAGGCCAGCTACAGCTTAGGAAAAACAAAGCACCACAACAGATCTTTGACAATAATGAGTTCAGACTATAGTGCTCCATGCTGTGCAAACAGAGGGAGAGTTGCCTCTTGCACAGCACACTGAGCTCTACAAGGCAGACGAAAGGAAGAGAGTTACCTCCAAGTCTAGCTTCCAAATGTTTGCAGTGGGAGAAAGGGGGAGGACGACAGTGACCCTATGGGGCTCTTTTTAAAACAGATGACTGGAAGGGAATGACTGATTCTTTAGATTTCCAAAGCTCCCTTTCCACGTAACAAGGGCAATAGTACCACTGAGGACTAGACAAGAGCCACATACTGCGGTGAGAGGAAGAGAGCAGTTGAGAGGCAATAATAATCCAAAATATTTCTACAAACACAGCGGGAATAGCTGTCAAAAGATCAACATTTTAATCAACAGACTCTGTACACAAGAGGTTTCCCATTAAGAAAGTAAATGTATTCCTGCTTCTATCACCAGGCTAAGGCCTAGGATGGTCTCTCTTCAAGTTGCTCTCAGCAAGCATTCCTATGGAAGGTGGCTTTCCAGGATCTGTCACAAGAGCAATGTTCAACACAATCCGTATTGTACCAGCTAATATTGAATGCAGCTGTGTCTCTTCCATTTTTCTCTCACATTCGCCTGGCTTTCCGGGGACGACAGCCATTGTGTGGAACTGGGGTGTTGTCCGTGATGGAGATAACCTCCAAACCTCCCATAGTCAAACCCTTGATGGCAGCCTGGAAGAGCAAGACAGCAGATGATGTACTGTTTCAGCACATTGCAGAGTGGAAAAGGGAGAAGAAGTTCAGGGGAAAACAGTTTGGAACAAGCTGATTATAGAAGGGACCAATGCTTCTACTTTGCAGTTATCTTAAAAAAACAACTACTATTAGAAAACCCAGTTCAAACCTATCTGGTTCAGTTCTTTCATCACATTTCTCATCAATTATGCTACTTTAGTTGGAAGAAAACCCCAATACAGCTTCTGTTCTGTCCTCAAAGTGAAATTATTCTAAAATTTCACTACTACGATGCTTTCTTTTTTGTGACTGGATTGTTTTTGAGAAGGAAGGAAGAGGCACTTGAGTGATGAATTCTTTCTTTCGCTTTCAGAAAGATTGGCTTAATAGGTACAGTCATGAGCCTAACCTGAATTAAAAAAAAAAAAAACCACAGAAACAAAACAAAAACCTAAAACAGACACTTACTTTGCGTCCTGGTCCCAGTCCTTTCACCATGACTCGTATATGGAATACACCTTTCCCACGTGCTTTCTGAGAAAAGAAGAAGTGGTCAGCATCCTGTCTGATATCTCTGATGCTGCTGTGGCTCCCCTGTAGTCTTTCATTCCCTTCTGACCCACTATCATGGTACGCTTTAAATAAAAATAAAAGGTAGGTAGTAATAGATGGATACAGAAGACAAATACTGGGATCACTGCAGAAAGTCAGACATTAGCAGAAGAAAGAGGCTTGGATGAATCAGTGGCAGTTTCAAGAGAACTTCTGTGTTAGGTTGCCCACTCTGCATACAGAGAAAGCTTTAAGATCAAGGTTTCTGCCACCTAAAGTCAGGACAGAAAATGACATATCCCTGATATATGACTAAACTGGCAAGGGACTAACAAGGACAAATTCCATGCTGTTTTCCCTTGGCTAATGCAGTGACTTCCATCCTATGATCAGTGGATTCCTTCTAGAAGGTAAATGAGAAAAGCAAGGAAGCTTTAGATTTGCTGTGCAGGAGTCCATGCCTTGAGTACAAAAATTCTAAGGGCTTGGAAACTGAAGATGAGAAACACCTGCTGTAACGTGTGGCAGTACTGCCACCACGTGGAGCCCTTCTGGATCTCTCTCCCTCTGTGTTCCAGTGCATTTAATCCACTAATGACTTTAACAGGTGTAAGAACAAATCTGGCCAAGCACAGTTATACAGCTGTTACAAGACTCCAATGAGCAAAGATTAATAGCAAAAATGTTCTTATATTCCTCTGAGCCAACCGCAGTAAGCTTTTAGCCAGCAGTGGCACCAAACACCTCTGATCTAAAAGGTCAGAGTGAGTTCCACCTAATTTAGGATAAGGATTTTCAGTTGCCTCATTCTGCTATAATGAAGGCCATGACACAGACAGCTTCATCTTCTCCTGCCACCTGGCCACCCACGTGTTTTTTTTAGAAATGATTACAGTAAACTGCACGGATCTGGAAACTACATATGCAAGGACATCACCTTCTCTGACTGGAACTACTGGCAGCAGCTCAGTTCTCCTGTGGCATAGAGCATATGTAAAACCCTCAGCCAGTAATTACAGCTACTTCTCAGTCTCCTACAGTGCAAAAATTGAACAACTGCTGATTGAGGGGCTACATTTCCACAACAACTGAGATGTGTTAGAAAAAGAAGCTGTACAAACTGGAGCTAGAAGAGAATAGGCTACAACTTACATCTCCCAATCACAATGTGCACAGCTAAGCTCACCACGTGGACGTTTCTAACTGCTGTTTCGGACGCACTTTGTCCACGTCAAGATGTTCACTGTGGGGAAAGAGTCTACAAATGGCAGTGTGCTGCTCAGGCTCTAAGGAACAGAGGTCTAGACTGCTGCCCATGAGTGAGGAACAGCAACCAGAATGAGAAACAAAATTTCTTCTCCCTTTCTATCCCATTGAAAATAACTGAAGTCTCCCAAAACGCACTTATCCTCCACATACCCTGGTAGTATGTTCTGCAGTCAGCACCCCTCTCTGGGACAGTGGGAATAACCAGTACAGACTCACCACTGCTGCTGCTATGCCTGCGGTCTGTGCTGCAATGGCAGTTCCCTTCTTGGCATTCTGGAAGCCTTCTGTGCCACAGGAGGTACGGGCAAATGGCCTATTGTCGAAGCTGACGACTTGGATGTGGGTGCTATAGGAGGAGAGGAGAAAAAGAAAGGAGTAAGCTGGAATAAGCTAGAGTAAGACTTTACTCTGCAATTTCTTCTCATTCTGCTTAACTTGCAAGGCTTGCCACTCTTGTCTCCCTTCTCAAAGCCATTTTAACACAGTACTCTAACTAACTACCTCCGTTACGCTTACCAGCTGCAGAGAGCTCCAGCAGAGAACTTCTAGGTCATCCTAGAGAATCAGTCAGAAGGTAAAACCTTTCTGGATAATCCTCCCCTGCTAGATAAAGTTTAACCCTTTCGGAACCACCTCCCATTGTGAGTATTTTATCTAAAAAAATACACAGAACATTTTTAGAACTTCAGAGAGCTTTAAGAAATGGTAAAATTACACTAGGGATCACTAATGAAACCCAACCACCTCTTGAGGATAATACGACAGCTCTTTCAATTTCAATTGCTGTACAGCAGTACTGCTAGAACTGAGGGCAGGAATGAACCTGCCATTAAAAACTGTCAGCATCTAATTATTCATATCAGAAGGTAGTCAAAACGTGCAATAACACTCTTATTCTTGTTAAAGATACTATAAAGACAGTTATGCTTCCTTGAGCAGCACTGAGGTTTGGGTTCAGTGTTGTTATCTTCCCGATCACGAACACTGCTTCCATGACTTTTTTCCTTTGAGTTTTTCAATTGAAAAGATGACTGGCCATAACCCAGGTACATTATAACTTTCCTTTTACATGAAAACAGGCATGGAGAAGCTTGTTTGCTTACTTGTTGTATGTAGCTTTGATGTGAGCTATTGGGATCTCTTCGTATGGCTTTCCATCCCATCTCATGGAGTTCCTTTGCAAGATTAAAGGGCTGAGAAGCAAAACAAGACATATCAAGACACTTGCTCTTTAACTTTCACAAAGTTTTATTTCATATTCTCTAGGAATTTGGAAAGAAAAAAGGGATCAAACAACATCTGGTCTCAGAAACACACAAGCTGTGTTTGTGATTGACTCAAATCACTTGCTTTCCTTCCTTCACCGAAAAATGCGAGGTGATAAGCCTCCCAGCAAGAGGCAAATGGAAGAGACTTCACAGCACAGCGTGGCTGTCTCACCTAAGGTCAGTCATGCTCTGGCTCTCCGTCTCCTTAGCGGCAGCCTTCTCTGTGAGGTCCTGCAGCCTCTGGGCACCTGTTTGTACGCCACGGCACAGGGCAGCATTGTAGCCGCTGCGAGAGAGAAACGGGAGGAGGAGATCAGCGTCTGCGCCCACCAGGCTTTCACGTATCTCCCGGAGCTCTGACAGGCCTCCCAAGCGCACCTGCGCCCAGAAGCTTCCCGCTTGCAGCTAAGAGAGCGCTGCAGGCCAGCGAGGGAGAGCGGCAAACCTGGCCGGACCGCGCCGCGCCTCGACGGACTCTTTTATGGGCAGCAAAGCTGGTCGAGGCGAGTTCGGGCTCTGGGGGCCTGGGCAGCCCCCGGCTCCGTGGGGAGCACTAAGGGAAGGGCCGGCGGTCCTGCCCGAGGGGGAGGCGGCTCCT